ACACATAGGACGTATACACTGAAGCGTCTCCTTAAACAGGGTCGCAAGGGTTTCGCGAAGAGTGGCCTCCATAGGGACTCCTGCAAAAGGTTCCCTTGTGCTGAATCTCCTACCCCAGCACGGAATCCCGTAAAATACACTTGCTCAGGTGGTCATGTGTAATAGGCATATGACCCTGCTCGGAGCCAATGTGCTGGGAGCTGTGCGATGTTGCTGCTTAGTTGGACCGAAGCCTCGCCTGCTTGTCGAGAGTGAGTGCTAAAAAACACTGAGCAAGTGTACTGCCCTATCAAACCCCACGAACCCGCCCCCCCTTCACCGCAAAAAAACACAAAAAAGACTCCAAACATACTCCACCCTCTGTACAGTACTACAGATGTGCTCCTGTACTTAATCACATGCAGTCTAGTTCCGGCACCGACATTGCTAAGATGGCGGATGCCGAAACAGAAAGTCAAGGAATAAAACTGTAAGGACTGTAAAGGCTCGGTGTCGACAGCAAAAGATTGATTCCCACCCGATTACCATGGGGAGTCAAAGTCAACATCTAGAAAACACTGCTCGCGTACTTTTCTGACTCGGGACTTGCGTGAAGTGATCCCCGATTATGGTGTAAGAACATATGTTCTCATTGAGGGTGACATGGACACAGAACTCGATGTCGTCTGGAGTCTGGAGTGAGCAGGTGGATTTGCCATCAGACACTTCACGACCGCCATGCTAAATGCAGCAGCTTAACTTGTCGTGTCAGGTTTCCACACGCGATTTCTTGCATTGCTGGGTGCGGCCCGAATGGTACCATCGAAGCCTGCAAGCGAGACCCTCAAAGTTGCACAGTTGCGGTTTCCATGCTGCATTTATCTCGATGCGAAGAGAGGGAAAAGACTGTGGATGACATCTTGCGACGAGAGTTGAAGCTTCAAGCCTTCAAGCCAAACATGTGGCCCTGATCCTGTTCGCAGACAGCTGGGTGCGGTTGATGAAGCAGACCCGTAGAAGCAAAGTCTTGCAAACATCGCTGCTGAGGCCAATGTGGCCGCTCAGAAGACGCAGGCTTCGCCAGGCACTTGGGAGGAGTTCGCAGCTTTACCTGTCAGTGGGTGCCACACAGTTATTTCGACTTCGGCCAAGCTGCCTCAGGAGCTTCTCTCCTTGACCGTAAGCGCTGACTGTCCATGCTACGGTGGATTTGGTTGCCGACGAGGTGATGGGGCCTGTGAGGATCTCGCGAGACAGTGGGCTGGTGCTGGCGAGGAAACTTGGAATAGTTTTTCTTCCCCCAATTACAGAAGGCAGAGCAGAGGTCTGACGTATTGAAAAGGAGACAGAAAGTGGCAAGCTCACCCAAAGAGGCCTTTGGTCTCCCTGGCCTTGTGAAGGAGCATTCTGCTTGCCGTCCGGGATCTTTCCTCTGCCGCGAGGCATGTAGCCCTGCCATCTGTGCTCGTAGAGGTTGCAGTGCGTTTCTTGGATCCACGAGGTGCCACCAGAATTGGAACCTGCGCGGCCGATATTCGCCGCTGCACCCGACACTTGTGCCTTCTACTTCCATCGGAGGCTCGGAGACTGGGGCCCATCCGCTGGTGCAAGAGTTGGAAGATTGGAATCATTCGCAGGGCGGCTTACGATGGCAAGGTTGATGCCATGCATGCTTTGCCCTCGGAGCTTTCTGAGCAGATCCAGACAGCTGGAGTTCGGATCGCCTGCAGAGGTCCTGTCGCATGCCTACAGCAGCGGCTACCGTGGAGCCCCCAAAGATGGTGCACAGGACTAGCCCGGTTGCAGTCATCTTGGGAGCTCGTATGAGCTCGTGGCCTGGCTGCAGGCGTTCTACTGGAGCCAGCAGGCCATGGCAACTGGTGACCTGCGAGGGCGCTTCGATGTGGCCTATTCTATGGAAAATGGCTTTGGCACCGAGAAAGACCCCGAGACTTGGCGGCAACCAGCTGCGTTCTGGCGATGGCTCTCGCTGCTCTCGCTCACCAATCTCGATCTTGCAAGGACCGCGCCTACGAGCTCTATCAGGAGATCCTGACCGCTCAGGCCGATGAGGGTACCAAGGGCAGAGATTTGGAGAGGGCTCCGCAAGAGTCTTTAAAGGGCGTCTTGAAAGAACTGCTGGGCCGCCTGAAATTGTCGGAGCTCCCAGGGCCTCGGCAAGGGCGAGGACCTCGCAGCGCGCGCTGCCTCCTTCCTGGCCTTGCTGGCAGCCTCTGGCCGTGCCTGGGCCGGACGCAACTTGTCCGGGAGCAAACTCTTGCACAGCACCCCTCGGACTACAGAATCAAGCAGATTCAGCAGAGATGCGAAGCTTGCAGAGTTAAGGATTCTTCCGAGCAGGCTAAAACTCCGTCGACATGGCTTGATCCACCGACCTGGTGAAGTTGGATGCTGCCCCGAAGATCATGAAAGGTTTGATCGGTAACGGTAACGTGCGGCGCTGAAGGATAACTCTTCATTGGATGGTGATCCGCCCGAGCGGTACCATGCCGGTGCTCGCGGATGCGGAGGAGGGCGGAAAAGAGCTGAAGGAGTGGAAGCAAAGACTTCAGCTACTTCAGCACTCAGCCACAAGCCAGGCTGAATCTGAAAATGCTGGGTCGCTCATACCTGCCTATTGCCAGGACAGCTGCAGAACTCGACTACGAGTTTTGATCGCACTATAATGCGTGTTGGCTCAGAGCAGCAGCAGCAGCAGTCGCCCTGCATTCCGCACCCTTGCCACGAGGACGTACACGAGCATTGTAATTTGGGGCTTGTTGTTGGATAATTCAGTAAGTGCAAACAAGATGCGAAGCAATGCGGAAGAAATATCACTGCTGTCCGGCGCACGGTGCAGTGAGCTTCATCGCACACGTCCTAATTCGACAGATGCTTTGGATCTGAGGGGCCTCGGCCTGGCTTCAGACCATTCTTTGTTTTCTTCGTTTGGCAGAAGGCGGGGTTTCACAAGTAGGTCTGCACCGGCGTCAGATTCCAACTGCTGATGAGCATCCTGGTTGGACAGGATCCACAGCCGACGCCCAGGTCGTGCTAGCATCTGGGAAGGGCGGAGACAGGCCGCTTTGCATGATCGAATGTGTGCACACTGTTTCTGTGCTTTGGCTGGCGATACACTGCGGAAGGCGGCCTCAGGGTGCCCTGGCAGTTACTCGTGACATTGAGCGACGGGTGGTCCAGGCAGGCTCGCCAGAAATGGCGCTTGATTTTTGCCGCACCACGACTCCGCTCTTGCAGGCTGGAGGCAACACGGTAGGTGTCGAAGCCCGAGAGCCTCTAGCCATCGGCGCGTAAGTCATCCTCGCGTGTCCACGAGAGGTTCTGGTGGCATCGCTTTCTTGGACTTCTGCTGACGACCTTGACCTGCACATGCTTTTGCCAGGTGGCTGTTTGATTTTTGAACCGACAGAATGCGATGAATGCAGTCAGGTGGTCAGGAAATCAGCTACAGGCACAAGACGGCGGAAGGTGGTGAGTTGGATGTTGACATGTGACGCGTCCTCAGTTGTCATGGTTCACAAGTCCCTGCAGCGCCCTTACGAGTGGCACGGGTTCGTACTCAGTACTTGTTACAATTTTGGCTACTCCTTGCTGCTCTTGCATTTGTCATGAGTCATTCCGGACGTCGCCACAAACAGGATTGCGCCTGTGTGACTTTCCGGTAGTCGTTTCTTGCCTGGAGTGTGTCATATATTGTCATGTCGTGACTAGGTGTGCAAGGGAAGCATGGTGGCATGCATCTCAGAGTCAACTGAATCCCTGTGTTTGCGCAGCTAAACCGGAGAGCTCAGGCAATTGTGCTGACCGGCCAGTCGAGAACATTGTGTTCCAGGATGACCCACCTGCAGGGCAAGCCACCCAGCAGTGGAGCTAACGCCTTCTTCCAATCAGAAACTGGCACCAACAAGTACGCAGAAATGCGGGCACACACACACACACACACGCACAAGCATCACAAGCATGCATGCATAAATGGACATGCCTATTCACAGAATGTCAGATCTGTATAGCTTGTTCTATGTACTTATGTATATACCACATTTTTATACATCATGATGCGTGAATAATGTGCAGATATGTATGGTATGTATGCATGCATGCATGCAAATTCATAGGCAGGCAGGCAGACAGGAGTAGGCAGGTAAAGGTGCATGTGTGCACATATGCATGCACACATGTAAGACATATCAAGGTATTTGTTGTTTGTTTGTTTGTTTGTTAAGTAGGGCAGTGTTTGTGTATGTTTGTGTGTTATTCTGGTACGGTGTACTTTCGCATGTCTGCTTATTGGGGGTTTCTTTGCATGCTTATGCCCGAGGCCAAACTATAGTCCTTCTTGTTCGAAAACAGCGGTTCCTGATCGCAGCAATAGGGTACGTGCAGGTAGTTCCAGCTGGTAAAGGCTGATTTGTGATGCGATGCACGCGTCTTGGATTACGCGGCGCTCCTGCCTCGCAGGCATTCACGCCTGCAGGCGCGCATGTGTACCCGCACGCATACCCACACCCACACCCACACCCACGCCCACATGCACGCGCACATGCACGCGCACCCGCACCCGCACGCGCACCCGCACCCGCACCCGCACCCGCACCCGCACTTACACCCACACCCACACCCACACCTACACCCACACCCACACACACACACACACCCACACACACACACGCACACACGCACACATACGCCAAAGGAGCGGGCTAGCTGCTAGCACTCATGCACACAGGGGCACAGATGTATTTGTGACTGGTGGTTGGTTGCGAGGCGCTACAAGATCTTTGTCCAGAACTTTAACTACCACTTGAACACCCTGCCGGAGAACATGCAGGCAAAGAGTGTCCGCAAGCATGAATTCTCTGCAGCGCCTTGGGATTTTCAGCTGCGTTAACACTTCATGCAGCTTCAGGAGGCTTCGTGCCTGCATAGGTTTGCATTCCCAACGGTCTCATAGCAAGGTTCGCTGAAGCTGTGTCATCCTGTCAGCTTCATCGAGCGAATGTAATTAGCAGTGCAGCAGCGATACTGCAATCACCGGGAAAACGCCAGATTGTTTCTGAGGATTATACTGTCTCGCGAGTCTGCACTTGCATGCTTTCCGTGGTCGCCCCGTGCCACTCAAACCCTGAATTTTTCGTGGCATGCTTACGGAACGGAGACCAACGGTGCAGGTGGCCCGAATGCAGGACAATCGGGCAGTTCGGGTCTTCAGTGTTCTTTCGTCGATCGCAGACATGTTTATGCACATGATGTTGTAGAACGACCAGGAGGGCCGCAAGGCTTCGAAAGAGGAGATGCAGCTTCGCCTTAGCCGCACCGCTGCAAATGCTTGCTGGACGCGTGTCGGTTGGGTGTCCAGTAAAATTCCAGGCCAAGATCGACCGGTGCTGTTCGACCTGCTGCTCAAGGCCCTCCAGCCCCAGATTCATCAAACCCCGAACAGCAACTGGTCACTCGCGGAGCTTTAGCTTTCTGTGTTTTGCATATCTGCTGGCAGGTTTTTCCGCCAAGTGCAGCAATTTGCGTCTCTTGCAGCCCCGCTATGTGATTCAGGTGCACGGAAGCAAGAAGCTCTTCGAAGGTCTCTGCACGTGAGGATCTTGGCATGCTGCGGCGTTTGCCTTTGGTGATGTCAATATGGGTGCCGAATGTGGAGGCCGGCAGGAAAAACGCACGGAAGTAGCGATGCCCAGTGCCCAGGATGTGTGAATGGCAGCTGTGAGAGAAATACCGCTGCAGAATGCAGTTGCTTCTTCGTCCCCTGTCAGAAGTAGTGCCAAGCTATTCTCCACAGGATTAGCGACGTATCAGACAACACGCGGACAATCAACGTGCCCGTGCATATGTTTTTATAACACGGCGTCGCCAGGCATTTTTCGTGAACTGAAGTAATCAAGTTACCCAGCACCCGAATATCCCGCAAACTCTTCACGCTGGCATGAAACCGCTCGGTGAGTCCACTTACATCCGATGATAACTTCAAGCAGCCGGAGGGATTTGCATCCGTGAGCAATTGCTTGACTGCCGTGATTTGACCCACCCTGTGCAAGCATAAGACGTTCGCAAGCAACGTATACAGAGATGCCAGAGATGCTTCCCGTTTTCCAGCTGTGTGTTCGTGTTTCTCGAGCCGTGCGGATCTTCTTCTCAACAAGTGGATATGGTAAAAGCCAAGCCGCAATCGCAGCCTCGGTCAGGGATGCAAATCCTGGCTTTGGCTAATGTCACATCGAAAGTGCCTTCCATGGGCTCGAGGTAATTGTCTTGGAATTCGACTATGACCCCACGAAGGCGTATCCGTCAGCTGATGTCGAACGCGCTGCAGTTGATGTTCTACCGCAGGATGAGGACGAGAGGTTCATTCCGCACTTTGAAGCCGTCGCGGCTCAAGAATGCCAGCGGCAGAGCATACTCCTTTTGTCATTGCAGAGTTCTAAAGTGTAGACACTGGTGTCGCATCGTTTCATCCTCGAGTTGCTGCTCGAGGCCTAAGATACTCGGAGAAGCTTGCCCTGGCTGGCTCGGAGGTTGGTGACCCTGCAATGATGCAATGCCTCTGAGTGTGCGACAGACGATGTGGCACTTCAGGCACGTGCTTTGCCGGGAAGTCCATTTCTGAGACGGTCTGTGTTGGCAATTTTGCTCCTTTTGTTTCGTTGACATTCTCCTACATCGAGCTGGAAGGCCCGCGCGAGAAGTCTGTTCAGCCAAGAACATCCGATGGCAAGGTCGAGAATTGAAGGCCTGGCTGCCGCACGCACGCACGTCTGCTTCGGGCAGGTGAAGCAAACAGGCGGTGGAGGTGCAAAGGCACATCGCGCTGGCAAGCGAGCAGGCCTGCAGAAAGCCAAGCACGAGCTCATGTTGTTTGGATCGGATATAGCTGTTTTGGGTATCAATGGTTTGGCATCTGCAATCAAAAGTGGCAGCACACTGCATGTCAAAATTTTGTTGTATGCTGATGATAGTGTCATTCTCAGCGAAAACCCAGCAGATTTGCAAAGAGCTCTAGATGTAGCGGCTGTGTGGGCTGCCTGGAGATTCTGTTTTTGGCACTGGCCCGGACAAGAGTGCGGTAATGTGCTTTGGCAGGAGGCCCCCCAATCTTGCTTCCTTGCAATTTCACATTGGCCATCAGCCCTTGCCGATTGTTCGCAGCGACACTTATTTAGGGGTTGTTACATGATCGTCAACGATGGAGTGACCATGTCGATCATGTGTTATCCCGCGGTGACCAGAGAATTGCTGCTTGTGTGTCGTGGACACAATCGAACTCTCAAAACTTGCCGCTGAGATTTTGTAATCAGATCTTTTTTTGGATTGGAATTTGTTGGTGAGGACCGCCAGCTGGCGCGTGTGAACACCCGCTTGTTCCAATGGGGACGCCGCTTGTTAAGTTAATGTGGCCATGCGGCGCACCGACTGCAGCTCTTCAGGGTCAGCTTGGTTGGTTTGATGCCCGTTATTCCCGCTTGCTTATAGCGCCTCGGGGTTATGGGCACGCCTGCTTTCCATCCCGGGCCGATGCATAGCTGCCGACGAGGTTGCACGTATTGCCAGTGAATGTCCTGGTTTTGGGGTTCATAGTGTTGAAAATCAGCTCGTTCAACTGGGTGTTTCCCATCCAGAAACCTGGAGTGTAGGACGTGGTGCTAGCCATTCAGTCGTCCGACGCTGGCTGCGCCATGTGCGTACCGTTTTAGTTTCGCATGCCAATGCGTGGTACTCAGTAGCGGCCCGCGGCATTGAAACTTTGTGCGAGTATGCGCAATGGCAGCCAAACCCCTGCCTGCACCCAGTGGTTTATGGCCGGTATGTGTCTCCTGCACATGCTCGCTACTGGGGGTTAGCCAGCTGTGGGCATCACGCTTTCTGTGACAGGCGAAGTGCTCGCCACCAGAGCAACGCCGTCAGACCTTGTCGCCTTTGTGCTGGTCAATCAGACACTCTGCCACATGCCCTCCTTCATTGCACAGCACACCAAGCTTTGCCAGAGCCTCCGCAGCTACCAACCGTGCTCGTGAAATTGCCAACGACATTTCCTTTGTGGCCAGCGTGTGCCATGCCACTGAAGCTTGTGAAGCGAGATGGTGCTGACTATTGTGTTGGATAGCTGTGGGTGAGTGGCCCGAGGCCGTAGTTGATCTTGTGTATAGGTGTACAAACCTTTGTTTAAAAAACCGTGTAGTGTTTCACGTTCTGACCATGCCTCATGATCGTTCCAGGACTGGACTCTCTCTTGGGGTGGGAATGGATGGTACGATGTGGTGTTTTTGGGGGCCGTGCTCCACGGCCGCTTTTCAAGGCGCCGCGCAGTCACACTCGTGTCAGTGCTGGGAGCTCACCACAGCCAGAGAAGTCGAGGATCAGACACCTGGCGGGCGACACAGGCTGAGCAACATGCTTCGAGATCGGTGTTACAGACAGCACGCACACAATCGTTTCGACGCGGAGACGCAGTTTGGGCGTCTCTGCAGTTGAGCTTACATGTTGTGAAGCCCACCACAGGCCAGGACTTCCGACTGTCGGCTTTCAAAAACAGGCGTGCCGGATTGTTGCCAACAATTCGCCAACTTCGATTGTCCTGTGTCTTGCCTCGATCGCTTGGCCGGCATGCCAGCATCGAGCTGGCCACCAGCCTGTCAAAGACACCTGAATCGCATATGACATGTGCATCGCAACCGCGGCCGTCTTGAGTTAGGCTTAGCTCTCAGTGTTGAGATCTCAGTGTTAAGAAGGATCGTGGTAAACTTGAGCTCATGCAGCCAGCCATGGGTGTGTAAATGTCGCTGGAACTCGCATGTTGAAAGTCTGGACCTGTCATGTTGCTGCTTCATGTGAGGGCGTGCCAGACAGCTCATTTTGCAGGTCAAGGCAGGGAAGATGCAAAGCACGCAGCGCTTCAGGCTGACCAAACTGCTAGAAGGAAGACAGTACGGCGCATGCTCATGCCTTTGTGCCAGTGTCGCCTGTGCCTGGCGGGAGGCAGTTCGGAGTTCCTCTCCAGAACTGCTCGCTGCCAAGCCGGCATCGGTGCTGCGGTCTTTGCTGTCTGATCTGGGTGCTACGTGCTCGTGCCTCAGCGAGACTCCCCGCGAGATTGGAATTCCAGAGTGCCAGTCCGAGCTGCGCAAGGCAAGGGCTGCATGGAAAAGGCGGAGCTGGTTGAGAAGCTGCAGCAAGCTCACACTCGCCGCTGTGAGATTCGTGTTTTGCATTGTACGGTTCTCTGACATCCTCAGGCTTGCTGCGGCCGATGTTAGGTCAGAGCTCTGATCCCGCACCCTTGCAAGCGAAAGCAAAACGCCTCGCTTCGGATGTTTCCGGATACTGTCGTTCGCAGCCGCACTGTTTGCACTCTTCACGAGCGTGCGTGGTTGCCGCTTTGCCACACCTCAAGCTGCAACCTGCTCTTGCCACGCGCTGCCACGCTGCCATGGCCCCTAAGAAGAAGCCCGCGCAAGTCAAGGTGCGGCTATGCAGTGTTGCTGCTCGGGGGCCTTCCTTGTCATGGTAGGCCAAGGCCAAAAAGGTCGTCACGAAGGCCAGCGTTGTCCGTGAGGCTGGCCAGCTTTTGCAGTGCCACATCGGACAGGCAGCAGTGAAGGTGAAGCGCAAGCCTGCGGCGAGCAAGGCAGCAAGCAAGGCCCGGAAGGCGCCCTCTGGAGACTTCAGGGGGGCAAAGCTCTCTTCGAGACTTTGGAGGGGAACTGTGCGGTGGTGCGCCAGTCGGTGTCACGGAGATGCAGAACGATGTAGAAGCAGCAGCAGTGCGATCAGAAGAAAGGGACCGGAATGACGGCGGGGGCGGATGGAGCAGAAGGAGGAGCAGGAGGGGACCGTAGCGGCAACAGCTTGTGGCGGGCAGGGGCAGCGAGTGGGAGCAAACACCGTGCTTGTGAAAGAGCAGTGGTACTGATGGCACATTGACGTCGCGGAGGACCTAGGTTGTGATTTGATGCCAGGTGGTGGCCCCAACGAAGCCCATCCGAATCGGTTTTCTGATTGGCAAGGCCACGGCTTCCTGATCTTGCACCGAGGGATCCATGCAGAGGATGTAGAGACAGACTGCAGGACACAGACTTGGTGGAAGATCCGAAGTATGTCGGTGATGCCTCGTTCATGGCTGACATGCCAGACAAGTACCGCGTCGACCCTGAGAGCAAGGAGCTGTCACGGATCTTTTTTTTTCAAGTGAGAGATTGAAGCGGAGCACACTTGCAGAGGTGTGCAGCGCCCCCAGCTTGTGCTGCCCAGTCCCGCTTGTGCTGCGAAAGCCCAACTTTCGCAATTTTGCGTGGGCGAGAGATAGAGAAATTCAAAACATGTAGTCTTATGCGGGCAAGACATTTGCAAGTAAGGCAAGCAACAAGCATGCATGACATTTTGCAATTGGCCGGGTGAGCGCAGGCGCGGTATCCTCAAACCGTCCGTGGGTTGTGAAGGTGTGCTGGCTCCTGCATTCCCTCTCGGCACCGCACAAAAAGAACATCACAGCAAACCCAAAGCGATCCCAAGCCTGGAGGCCCAAAACAAGCAACTCACCGCCCAAGTCAATCCCTAAAAGAAGCTCCGTTGCGATACAGGAGTATCTGAAGAACTGTGAAGCTGGCGTCAAAGGATTTGCTCATGCAGATGTCGCGATTCCTTGGTGACGCCCCTTGTGAGATATGTAAGTGTGCTTTTGGGCAGCAATGGACGGGTCAGGTACATTCACAAGAAGTACGGTGGTGATGTAAAGGTTGACATGATCTTCCCGGAGGAGATCACGCTGAAGCGATTGACTCGCAGCTGCACTTCGTACGGTCTCATTTCAACAGATGTCCAATGGCAAGAACACGTCACCCCGAAAGCTAAACAACTAAACTATCACCAAAGCTGCGCGACGAAACACGAACGCAGAGAGGGTTGCTTCGTTTAGCCAAAATCAGCTAGAAAGAACCGAAAAACTGAAACCGGTCCAAGCTGGCTGGCAGCCAAGGAAATCTAACATGTGCAACTACATCATCGGGTACGATGTCATCAACTCCATTTTCGAGGGTCCAAAGAGGCCGAAGTTCTATGGCAGAGAGGGAGCCTTGGAAAAGAGCTGTGCTGTTGACAGGTACAAAAAGGTAACGAAGGTATTTACCGAATGTGGCAATCTAATGCCAAGCTGGGAAGTCCAGGACAGGCCAAAGGTGAGACTTTTCGGAGCTAGTTGCTGGGGCGCTGTGCAGATCCTGGAGACATTTGAGCTTGTCAAGGACTTTATCTACATCAAGTCTCGCTACATGCAGGCCTCGACATTGCAACCTTCTGTGCTCGGATTGAGCTGCAAGCAGGCAAGAAGGCACTGGCTGATGTTGCCCTCAGGCTTGCATGGATGCTGGGATACCCATGGCACCGACGATTTTCGCCAAGAAGAACAAGCGAAGCCCAGCTAAGCTGCTGGCAGAGATCAAAGCGCGAGGTGCGAGTAGGCTGCATGTTTTGTTCGCAGCCGAGATGATGCGCTGCACGAGGTTGGCAGACGTTTGTGATGAAGCAATCCATGATGGCTTTCTCTCTTGGCTTTTGCAAGCTGAAGGTCGAGGAGCCTATTTGCAAGTAGGGTTTGGAAGAGTCGTATTGGGGATTGTGACAGCTGTGATGTCGGGCGCTTGCCTCCTTACCAGGATTGCGAAAAGGATCCCAGCATTCTCAAGAACTATTTCCGGGACTACGCAGAATGTTTGCCTGGCAGTGTTCCCTTCATGATGTTTTTCCTGTCTTGGTCTCTCTTCGTAAACCTACTGGCGTTCGGAATCATGGCAGGTCCTGAGTATGTCGTGCAAGAGGCCATCGAAGGCTTCACCAGGAATTGGGAGACCAGGACCATCTGCCATTTTTTCGTGCAGTGCTCTGATTGATTGGGTAGCTCCAAAGTTACGTGGAGCTTGCTACACAGGGTCTTCTGGTTCAACGGCAAATTCCTTTATGCATCCTGGAAGCAAGAAGTCCCCAGACGCGTCTGTATTTTGATGCTTCGGTCCGATGGGTGGGGGAGCTGTTCGGTACTGGTAGTCAGGCAATCGCGAACAAGGCGGCAGTCTCCACTGAAGACGGCCAAGAGGTGATAATCACGGGTGCCATGGCTTTCTCAGCTTGCTTTTGTAGTTTGGTTTTGATTCGCCCCGGCGTTATCATGCGTTACCCGTCTCTGTGTGTTGCTTCTTCGGTGTGTTGTTGCACGGAGGAGACGACATCCCCTCCGAATTCCTGGAGAATGCGAAGCGAATAGGTGAGCAGGCACTCAAGATCTTGCCACAGCTGTGCACTCCCTCAGGACTGAACCTAGGTCGAGGTTCAGCCGTCCGTTTCACAAGGTTCAGAGCAACGCCTTTGAGAACGGTTCTCGCCAGGACAGCCCGTTGACATGACGCTGATTCGCACTGATGTCGGCTGTTCAGACAGCCCGGTACATGACAAGCACACAAAGTGGGATCCCAACGGGCGGACGTTTTTCTTGAACGAGATTGAGTATGGCGGGACCACCTACTTCATCCGACATCTCAAGGAGGCGAGCCCGGGGTGTTCGCACTCGCACTCCGCCACCGGTCACAGCAGTTCCTGCCAGGATTGGGTCCCGAAATGGGCCGAACTCTATGTCAATAAGTCTCATGAAGTCTTTGACAAGCGGCAGACTAAGAAACGCCGAGCCCTGCTTGTTCATGTTCCAAGTCTCGACTTTCTCAGGATGTGCGAAGCGGCAGCCTAGCGAGCTTAGCAGTGCCTTCCGCACTTAGCCAAGTTTCACAAGTACCTCGCAACCATTTGAGAAGGCGGGGTGGGACCTACTTGTGCCCCATATTTTTGTCATATGCTGGTGTTGGTGGAAATGCCGTCGATTTTGGAGAGAGCATGCAAGAGCATGACGCTCCTGCGAAGATTCCATCAATGTTGCCATGAGGGTAACCTGTGAAGGGTTGGAATCCGCTGGGTGCAGGGTGTGCATGGTAGCATCATGCTTTCGGCGTCCTGCGAGAAATTCACTGCTTTGCCTTGCTTCGGTCTGTCTTAGCGGGTGCTTGGCAATCCTCGCTTGTTCGAGAACTCCTTGTCTTCAGAGTGGGGGGGGGGGCAGGACGGGCAAACAATCATGCACACATGGCTGTGCGAGAAGGGCAGTTTCGGTTCAAGTGTTCCCACAGCAGCTAACCGGTGATTGTTTCCATGAATCCTGTCGTTGCCCAGTGGTGAAGACTTCCACAGCAAAGCGTCGTTTTGTGGGTCCCTTGCAAAAGCGAGTGGGTCCCTCAGTGTGAAAGCAGAGTAGTGTTCTCGTTGCTTTTGTGCGTTGCCCGGGCGATGAACCAAATCTTTCGGTCGTGAGCTTATCCTTCCGATGTCACGTTTGCGTTTCTGGAAAGTGTTCTCAGAGTCTAAGAAAACCATTGGCACCCGGAAGCGGTCAGCCTGCAAGCGAGGAGGACCGTTTGGTGTAAGACGGCAAATAGGCATCATTGAGAATCATTCAGCTGCAAAGATGCTGCCCTGTGCATGGCAGGACATTCGGAGGCTTTTCAGTCATTTTGCGCACCAGGACCTTTCGTGTGTGAAAATGCCAAGTCGCACGCTCGTTCTGTCCACCAAATCTCGCGCAGGAAGATCGGGGCTGGAGACTGTCGCATGGCCCTCAAACTGTTTCCGAGTTTTCTTTAGGCCGTTCTCAGTTCAAGCATTCGCAGGCCAGCGGAGTTGGAGCAACTTCTGCAGGCTTGGCACAGGGATGTGCATGGTCTGTTGCGGGGCGAAGTACATTACGATCCAGAAGAGATTTTTTCTCCGCTAATACATTCAAACAAAAACGGTGGAAGGGTTGAAGACATATGCACGGCATGCCCGAAGCCTGGCAAAGCGATGGATATCGATGGATCCCGAAGCATCATTTTGGAACGTGCCCTTCAGCTGAAGCTCAATGCGTTTCGTTCCACAAGCCCAAAGCCAACATCCCACTTCCCAAGTAGTAAGGCATCTCGATCGCAGATCCTGAAGCCAAGTCGGCAAACCAAAAGCCTCGGCAGCATAAAACGCACCCGCCAAGTGGAACCGCGACAAGAGAAAAAGGGGCACAATCCCCCCGCTTCAAAACAGATGGATTGAAAGCAAGAACGACCCACGTATGCAAGATGCTGAAGCGACCCCTGTCCTGATCCGAATGAGTCAGTGACCAGTCGGTTTGCATGAGCTTGCTTGCAGAAGGCAGTCGAAGCAGGGCAACTTCCGGAAGGTTTCTCGAAACGACTGTTCCAGGCTTGGACTTGCACTAGATTCGTCACAGATGTTCATCGCATTCGAAGCATCGGGCTACGTCCGTGTCAGATTTATGACGAGGCATGGGCACCTGGACTAGATTCCTTGACAGAGGGGCGCTTCATTGCCGGCTTCCAAGTGCGCCGGACCTTTCTGTCGACAGCGGCCGCGACCCGTTGCGAGCGGCTGCATGCCGTGGGAGGTATACTTAGCTCATAGAGAGCAGTGGTTTGAACAATGGTGGCTGGCGAAGAGTGGCGGAACGTCTGCTAGACCACCGAGTACAATGCTCATCGTGGCAAGTGCATGTTGCATGCGCAGTCGTGCATAGTTGGCTGAGGCCATCGATTGATGAGTGAGCTTCGAAAGGAGCCGGGTGGCAACCAGGCACACTGTGTCGTTCCGTTTCCATTGCTAAAGGATGATGAAACGGTGGGCTTCGATCAATTCCGCGAATTTTGTGGCAGCTTGGCTGAGGACTTGCGTGCTGCAGGAAAGCCATCCCGAATGTTCCATGTCTGCGTAAATAGCGCATGCAGGAATCGAACTACGTGCCACCTCCTGCTTCATTCCTGCGATCAGTTTGGCAGGTGTCGCTGCTTCGCGGTTTGTGTTCTTCGCACTTTTTGTTTGCATGTCTGGGGAGGCGTGTATTGACAATGCAAAGAAGGATTCTGGACAAACATATGTGGATCGGCTTCCAGATGCTGCCAACCCGCCGTTTTGATTTCACCACTTTGCGGAGATTTTGCTGCATCTTGGATTTCCTTGCTGCCAGGCGTACGATGCACTTGTGGATGCATACGCTAGCCACTGGCGCTTTTGGTTGGAGGACTGGATAGCAGAGCGCGAGGCGGCTTGCGAGTGGTGCTCAAAGGAACGGTGCGAAGTGGGCGCAAATAAGACGCCAGGTCTCGAGCATGCCGGCAAAGCAGGAGGACGCTCTTCGTTCTACGTGTGCGAAATGCCTGCCGTCCACTCGAGCCTTGGACAGGACAGTGAAGAGGTGAAAGCCGCCGTTACAGTCCAACGCCATTTCCGTTTGAAGCCCAAACCCAAAGCGTGTAAGGCTTCCGTCAGACTTTGGGTGAAAGGTGCCTACAAAGCTCGCAGGAGGGTTGACAAGAAAAAGTCTGAGGCCGATCCGATGTTTTCAGTGGCTCGTTTTGGAGATGTTGAAGCGCCTACCAACAATGGAGCGACGGGACAGCTTTTGCAGGTACTCCTCTCGGATTTGGTTCAGACCATGTCGAACAAGGCTCGCACCTGTTGTCGGCGGCGAAACGTCCCGTGCATGTCTACGAAGGCAGCAGCAGCAAAGCTTTTCGAAAGGTTTGACAGCGGGAGGAAGGCCGGGATAGCGGCAACATAATATATTTGATGGCTGCTTTCTTTTTTGGTGCGGATCTCCTGACTTTGCAGGACTTCTGGACAGCGGAGGACATGGCACGCTTTTGTGCCGAACTCTGGCAACAACAAGACAATGCGCTGCTTGCCTACCAGCTTCATCATGCCTCGAGAAGACCTGCATGCAGCTGCCAGAAGAGGCCGCCTCCTCCAGCAGCTTTTGGAGCAGATGCAATGAAGAAGGTACACGTTGGACTTGTTTGTGCTGCAGCTTTCGTGGATAGCTTTGCTCAGCAGGTGCGGGCACTTGCTGGAACTCGACCCAAGAAAGTGCTGGCGAAAATGAGCGAAGAGGCAAATCCGAAGTCCTGATGCATTGAGACCATTGTCAAGTATTGTCCTTCGGCTGAATCGGCAGGAGGAGGTATTTCTCACTAGAGAAGAGTTCAGACGTGGTTTGCCTGCCTCCCAGCCGTTGAAAAATATCCTGGAAGAGGTGCCGATTCGCTGGGAAGCATGCAATTGCTATAAGGTTGACATGGAATGACAGACGTCACCGACAGCTGAAGAAGTGGGAGCGTGCTCGGTACTGTGAGGCTTCGGCGGAGCTTGGAGAGTCTTCGGAGTCTTTTTCCACGAAGCTTCAGCCACAGCAAGCAACAGGTGTATGCCTGTCCATGTTGCCGGGGTCGCTTTCGTGTCGTTGCAGTTCCTGTTCCATCTGAAGGCCAGGGGATGCAAGCATGATTTATGGGGGTGAAAACCTGAAAAGCTTCTTCCAGGCTACAGCCTCGAGATCGCAAAAGTGATAGATGAGGGAATGGTGCAAGGGGTTTGGAACTGAAGCTGCGCACTTTGAGCCTGCAAGGTGGTGATCACCTGCCCCTGCTGAGGTCACTTCTCTGACCGGCGTGAAGGATCCTCCGCGCTTCCCGTCGGGGCGGCAGTTGGGTTGGGCAGAAGAGCGTTTGCATGGCTGGAACTTGAGGCTGCCGGGGCGCTTAGCTGCTCCTGGCAGTGCAGCCAGGAAGCTTCCGCACCCGAGCGAGGCAGCCAGCATATGCTAGCGAATGCCCACCCCAGCCCCAACTTTGCTGGCTTGGGAGGTGGCATTCCTGCACAGCGAAGTGTCCAAGGCGGTCGCAGCAGGGGCTGCCTTGTGTGAGCGGTGCTTAGACTCCGAGCGAGAAGCGAGCGGCCACGAGCGGTGCAGAGCGGTGCACGTGCTGAGGTTTTGCCACCGGGCTGTGCGCGGCCGGCCTTAGCAGGGCACGACCCTTGTGTTGCATCTATCTCTCAGCTTTCCCTCTAATTGGGATGTTACTGAGGCGGCTTCTACTCGAAGCGGCAGTTGCTGGAGCTAGTCGTGGAGCGCCGGCGCGGCTTGGTTTGGGTTTGGGAAACCATCACAAGGGTAAGGCTGAAGTCGACAGGTCCTGCTGCTTGCTCAAGATGGCGAGATGGATGCTGTTCAGCTGGGCGCACAGGTTTCCTTGCAGAATGCTGGACACATTGAGCTCATGCAGGCTTTGGATCCAATCCGCATCTCCTGGCTGTCCCGTGACAAGGTTTTCACCGCAAGAGCCAGCTACCCAACTCGAATAAAGGAGTCTCCTGCTTTCATGTCCAGCCTTTGGAGGCCAAGCCGCTGGCAGGAATCGATTTGCAAGGCTCGTTGAGTGTCCACTGGTTTGGCGCTTCTTTGCTGGCTTGTTTCTTTGGCTTGCTCTTTCCCGCTTCGTCCCATGATCGCGACGAGGACGCTATTGAGACAAGCTTCCGTACCTATGCCAATCCACTGGATTCACTAGATTACAAGTCCAGAGGTCGAGGTTGAAACCGTTTGCCGGCCTCGTCTTGACTGCTGCAAACGAGAATCTTCCAACTCGTGTTCCCCCGCGGTTTCTGCCTTCGCCAATTCGCATGGAAATGCAAGGCGAAAGAGGTTGATGTAATCTACTTGAACGACTTTAATGAGCCACAAGACGAAAAGATAGGGGTGATGATTCTGTAGATTATCGCTTCATGGCAACGAGATCAGAACTATGCTTGAACTGGGGCTTGCTCATACTCCAGTATTCGTGTACTCACCCGTCCCTGTTTGTTTATGGTCGCAAGCCGAAGTTGCGACACTGGACGACAGAACTCTGTCTTCAGTTGTCATGGTAATTTTGTCGATGTCCGGGGGTACTATAATATCCCCCTGAACATTAGATGGTTTTGGGAGGCCGGGGTCAGGAGCAACAAGCCAGCTTTAAGGTGAACAAAGTGGAACCCTATCAGCCTATCAGCCATGTTTTTTTTGTCCTTGGCTATGTCTTGCAGATCAAAGTGTGCAAGGGACATGATGCAGTTTCGCAGAGCACGGTGCACATGTTGAAAGGGGGGAAAATAATCACGTTCGCAAACGTGACCAACAACGCATGTGATGTGATGAGCCACAGCTCAGGTGAGAGAGCTCGTCCAGCGTTAGACTTCCCGTTCTGGCCGCATGTGAAGACATTCCATTCTCTGCGGCAGGTTTCTGGAAAAGAGATACCTCGGCTGCTGATGGAGCGGTGCTTAGAGCGTCCATCGTTTGTGGGGATCGCCAAAAGATCTCCTCAAGGCCACTCCTCAGTTGTTCCAGGGCCTGGTCTTGGTGGGGGCCTTGGGTTTGGTGAGGTTCTCGAGCTGGAGTGCTCCTCTTGCATTTTTTGAGGAGAAAAAAGCATCTGCCAAAGATGTGGACTTCGTTCTCATGAGCTGCTCCCAGGATGAGGCGCTTCGCAAGCAGAGCTGGTTTGCTTGGAAGGAAGACATTGACATTGCGCTTCGCATCTCCGCGTTGTCGCAGGTCCCTTTGCTGAAGGAGTGCGAGCTGGAGGAAGCTCCTTTCACCATCGAAAGCCCCAGGCCAGCTCCGATGGGTTGCAGGGCATTGCAGGGTGGCAGGGCCCCCGGGTCGTGGGATGTCGTGGGACCGCAGAGTCAGAGGCCGCGGCTGGTTTGTCTCCTGGACTCCACGAGCCAAACCCACGAGGCGAGACGGGACCAGTGTGACCCTTGCCGGGTTCTGGTCCAGGGTCCTCAATTTGCCTTGCGAGAGGCTTTGTTGCAACACCTGGAAGCCCTTGAGGAGGAGGGCATCGCATCGCAACTCTTTACTGAGAAGAAGCGAGCGATCCTTCGATTTTTGCACAGGCCAAGGGGCACATGTCCTCAGCCTTGAAGCATTTAGAGGCCCTTCTATTTCGGAATGCACACCCAGACGAACATGAGCCGGTCGGTGGAAGGTGGCGCGGTCTCTCCATGGCCAACCTGGCGGCTTCGCGCAGGCGTCCATAGCTTCTTGCCATTGACGCGTCTCGGTCGAAGAATGAATGAATTCACTGCCGCGGGAGGGGGAACGAGAATCACGGACATGCTGCTCCATTTTCGAAGCACGGTCGTCCCCCAAACTGGGAGTGCTCACCCTGGAACTGTTTTGCTGCCGAAAGCTCTGGAGAAGCAAGGTCTCCAGTTAACTTTCGTTTTCCCTGCTACCTGCTTGACAGTGCCAAGTGCAAGAGTCGAGATCTTCGGCTGATGCAACAAACGTGCCGTCATTTCAGAGAAGTCCGTGGTCGTCAGCTCTTGCATGACATCGTGTCCTGAACGAGCTTGCCTCATGGTGGGCCTTCAGGACTTCAAGACATCGGGCTTGTAGCATGCGCCGAATTTTCTGAGTCCTGGTTTGCTAGAGATAGAAGCCAGGGGTTCATATCGTGAAAAAAGCAGCCCGGCAGCCAGGAAACAACAGTTGTGTTCCAGGGCTTTCCCAGAACTACCCGGAACTTGCACGTTGGGTTGATTGCCGGGCACGTCTGTGGGAGGCCAGCCTGGAAGACTTCAGCGCTGAACACAGATGATGGAGCGTCATGCCACCGGAGGATTCGATTGTTTTGGCGAGTTCGCTTTCCGAGGCCGACGTGTTGCCCGCTTTCCAACTGCAGCCCGGCCAACAGACATTGACCCGGAAGACGTGCCAGAGGCACTTCACTCAGACTTATTTTTTTTGTGGCCAGTCCTCACAAGCTGCCTGGCCGGATGAAGAAGGCGCTCCCTTTGGGCTTCACAGGGTCTCGTCCTGAGCACGGGATCCGGCCAGCAATGAGCAGCTGGTCTGAGCTGGTCACGACGTGTGGGAGTTGAAGGCCTTTGCAGAAGCTGAAACGACGGCCAGTCGTACCAGCCTTCCAGGACGTGCATATACGGTAAGCTTCGATACCAGTTATCTAGCCGCTAGCCTTTTCCAAGCGTGAGGACAACCTCTCGAGTGAGAGCGAGACTCCCTCCTCATCTGCTTCCCCATCTAAGGACCTCTTCTTCCGTGTGTTCTGATGATTCGATGATTGTGATGTCTACCAAATACCATCCAAGCCAATTGCAGCATTTTTGCGCCGACAGGCTGCCGCAGGCAAGCCTCCAGATCCAGGCTCAGAGTCCGTCCAAAGTCATAGCCTTCCCCACGCATGGTGTTGGCAAGCAAGATGGCATGGACCGTCAACCTGCCAGTGCAGGAACAGCAAGACCGCTGGCGCCGGCACCGTCGACTGCACCAAAAGTTGGCATCTTAGCACAAAGCAGCTTTGCGCAGGAACGATGTGGTAGCGCAGGCGCATGTAGGAATGAAAGGCACAAAAGATAGGTCGTTTTCTGCATCAGGCGAAGGCAGCGCCACAAAGCTTCTTCTAGCAGCCTGGCGGCGAGCAGGGCAACGCCATCGTATCCTTCATGGATAAGGCAAAGCCTGTGTTCGCACTTGGTTGGGAGGAGAGAGCACCCCAAAGAAACTGTATGTGGCTTCGGAGTGGGAGCAACAACAACAACAAGTCGTCGTAATATCCATAGCTCCTGCAGGAGCAGTAGTAAAGAAGTAGCGGTATTAGTTAAACCAAGTCGATTTCCTCAAGACTTGTCCTTCACCATTTGTTTTAAACACACATGTTTGGCTTGGCCCTCGACTCAGCAGACGTGAGCTCGTGATTTATGTGAGCAGAAGTGTCAGGGTTCAGGGCCGAATTGAAAACTTGTTTTTACTGGCCACCCTTTCCCAGTATCGTTTCCCACTTCTTGTTTGCGCCCTGGACATACGACCGAATGCCAGCCCAATGTGTTCACGACGGCCTGTATAGCAAGACGTACCAACAGCTTTACAATCTCGTTGTGCATCGCGGCATGGTGCTTCACCTAGATCAGTCTTGGGCAGGTTCAATGACAGCTCAAGTTCTGCCAGCAGCACCTGCAGAACATCAGCACGTGTACCGTGTACCGGCCAATGCTGTTCCATGCTGAGATGCTCATCATCTTGCTGTGTCACGATGCTCTGGATGATTTGCCGCATCCAGGAAGTCCATGAACAGACTGCTGTTCCATCTCGTGGTCCTGGAGGCACTCGGCTTCGAGCCACTATCATGACCAGCGCCATCATGTCGCAATGTTCAGGGTTTCGGGCCCAGGTGGTAAGGCTCAGGCCTTGAAGGCACGAGCGGGTTTCTCCCCAAGCCCTGGCCGCGAGGTGACCTGCAATGCACGCCGGAAAAACAGCAGATCCAGCAGCGGACCAGTTCCACAGGCCCGGGCTCGGAAACAGACAACTGTGACTGTAAGTCTTCTGCGTGTCGCTGCGTTTGCTTGAGGGCTGGAGACCGGGTTTGCAGCAAACGCCTTGGGGTGAAGGCATCTCAGGTCCAGCTTCAGGCTTCCGCCACCGCCAGTGCAGCATGTCAGCCTAGCAGCCTGAAGGAGCGTTTGGGGTTTACGATGGTTCATGGTTTGGGGTTTTATAGTTTTATCAACCGGGCCGGGGCTATCCGGAGCTGAGGATCAGCATTTGCACCTACTGCAGACGGTACAGCACTAAGCCGCGTCACGCACTCAGTTATTCTGCTACGGTGTGACGCCGTCCTGGATGTCTTGACGCAGGCCATGCTTACACGTTATCCGGGAGGGCCACCCCGCGGTTTTATCCGCATGGTCTTCAAGGCCCCTGCTCAGAGCCTGAATGCCCATGCTTTCCCTGACGGCTCCCGAGCCTTGGGCTAAGTCCTCATTCGCGTTTTGTTGACGCATCCCTTTTTTGAAAGTTTCCTCTCGTATCTTGTATCAACAGCGGCAGAGGGGCTCAAACTCACAGCCTTCCCTGGCACCTCCGTTTCCTTGCGGGGGCCACAGCGCAAGAGCAGATGTGCCGCATGTGAATGTATTTCATTTGTCCACATCCACATGTACCTGTGCATACATATACGATATACAGATCATATATGTATACATATATGCTGCATATATGTATGCATATATACATACAAGCACGGACTCGGACCTCTCTTTCCTGTATGCTTTCTATTGCTCAGTCTCTCTCTCTCTCTCTGTCTCTCGCTGGCTGGGTTCTGAGCGATTTGCTTGTGTCACCAAGGTTGGTGCACTATGGCTGAGGAGGAGGGACAGGAAGTTATTTTCACTGAGAACACAGCGCAAGATTCTTAGCTTGATCGAATGATTGCCGTGCTGTTGAGCAATGACGGTGCCAAGGCCCGATCGTGAGATCTGGGATGAGAAGGCATGACCGCCGTCATTCTCATGGTCTTGCGAGTATGGGACATTAACACAGGGCGGCCTCATCAAGAAGGGTGCCGCCGAGATTGCTGAGCGAGATCAGGACCACGTGCCAGAGGCTGGCAGGGGTTTGATAGCCAGGCACGGGTCTACTTTTGAATATAATATCGACCTTCGCTGGAGGTCAAGGTGCTGACTACCTTGGGCATGTTTGCCGTGCCGGTCACTGCAGAGACTACGATAGGCGAAATTCGGCAGAAGGTGCAGGCGCGCAAACGCAGCCAACCACCAAGCCGTTGTTTCGTGCATGAGAAGCGGGGTAGGCATCAGCTGTCCAGGAGTGGAAGCCAGAGTACTCCCTGGAGCAGAAGAACTGACATGTTGGCAGCTTTTTCATGTCTGAAGCAAAAATGAGGAAGCGGCAGCATCCAGTGATGGCAGGATCGAGCTCGTATGCAAGGACAAGGACGCATGGGGTCCTCTCTTCAACAAAACTTCCCGACCACGTGATGATGACGAGACCGTGCACTGCCCAGATACCCCTCTTCTAGAAGTTATCTCTAACTGGAAGGCCACTGCCTTGTGATCTGGCGACAGCCACAGGTGGAATCCCTGTGGAGTGACTGGGACATTCCGCGCCGCATGATGCAGGCAGGTTTTTAAAGCCACAGACCAAGCTTTGTATCTTTGAGCCCTCGCCGAGGTAGCTCTTTGGATCAAGGAAAAGAACGAGGAGACCGGTGAGCCATAGCCCGAGTCAGCCACGAACCAGGTCGACCTCTTGTGCATGTCGCACTGATTTCGGAAGACGTCAGGTGGGAGTCCACTTTTTGGAAGATGCTCGAAGAATCCAAGTGCGATGCAGCGGCCTTGGTTTAGCAGGTCTGTTGGCCCGACACGGATGCGTCTTGAAAGCCGGTTGCTGCAAGTCGCGGCATGCGCATGGAGATTTACGACAAGCACTTGCAACCGCACTGACTTTCATCAGAAACGATTTTTCGAGCTGTCACGAGCTGCTCTTTCGTCCCGTAGCATGACAGTGACATCGGTTGCAAACCTGGAGCTATCATGAACCCTTATGCTGATGGCGCTGATGGCGAAGCTAATCCTTGCCTGCTGCCTGACGTGCTGTGCCGCAAGCCAGGACTAAGCTGTAGCAAATCCTGGTTTTTCGTCGCTAAATACTCGAGGGCCACATGCTTGGTAAAACCGTGCGTATGCAGGAGCCCTGGATCCTGCAGCAGCTGCGCTCATGGAACTTGGAGGCCGTGCGCTTGCCTGTCATGATACTCGTACCGTTGGATGGTCAACGTGGTCGGAATCACTTCGAAAGATATTGAAGACTCAACTCACGCAAATAGCTGTGCGCAGAGATGTGTTGTCATCGGGCTGCGTGGCTGTGAGTCCGTGCTTGGACTGAGGACATGGATTGTGGAAGCATTCGGAGCTCGATTGTCGATTGGGTTCGACTTCAGCAATCAGCAGCAGATTTCAATCGCGCATGGGCGCTGAACGCACCACCGCGACTCGGCAGTAAACACACAAGTAACGGTGCACCCGGATGCACGTCCCCGGGAGCCCCGCGAAGCCGATGATGACATCACTCCGAGCTACCTTTTTGCAGTCTACCGGGTAGTGTGCTCAGAGCGTGAAACTGCCGGCTGGATGTATTCCTTCCTCACAAGCCTTCTCTTAAGCATCTGGGACTGAAGATTCCAAGCCACCATGGTGAAGCAAACTGGAGTTGACAGAAGGTGCGAGAGCACGAGATTAGTCAGAACATCAGCAACTGCAGGAACCTACAGGAACGCACAGAGGTGATCGGAACAATCGGAAGTGGCGTGCGGATGATCAGACAATTAGACTCAGCAAGGAACCAGTCAAACAGTTTCAGCTTGCGTTTGGTACAGGAAGCTGTTGCAGCATCTTTACTGAGGTGAGCTGCGAGGGTGAAATATGTTTTGAATGCAAGGCCGCGAGAGCGCTGTCCCCGGCGAACTCTTCGACCTGCGGCATTGAGCTACAGGTGCCAAGCTCGTGTCGGTTGTGGGGAAGTATGTGAAGTCCGCATGGGCTGCATGCACAATGCTTTTGCAGAGAGGCAGCATCAGCCGAAGCCACACTGGGCAGGGGAGGCCGGCTCGACAATCGCCCCAAAATCACTAGCGGTCGGCGATACCGTGTCCTACCTAGTTGCAGGTGGGACGTGTGCTGCAGCTACCAGACGTGGCTTCAGAAGAGTGCCCCCTCGGCTCCCTCACTGCCGCGGTACTTGCAACTGGGCCTCAATCGCTGAGCTTCGAGTCGAAGGTTTGGATGTGAGTTGCGGCTACCGATTTAAGGCACTTGTTTGCAGCTCTGACTGTGGCACAGAGAGCACAAGAGAAACGGAACTGGTGGAGATGTTCTGGAGGCGGGCTTTACAGGCCTGGCATACTCCTGGGACCGCAGATCAGATACCCAGTTGCAGCAGCAATCATGTGCCCTTCTGAACGTAGGTAATGTGCTACTGGCAGTATGCGGCCCTTTGAAGGCAAATCAGCTCAATGGCTTCGGTGAGGCCCGCGTTCGCGCATTTGTGCGAGTTTTTCCGTGCAGTCGAGCAGCGGTCAAGGCGGTCAAGGGAAACCTTTAGATGCAGGTGCCAAGCAGTGAGGGCGCTCCATGGCTGCTTGGGACATCCGCTTGGCCAGTGGCCGGTCTGTTGCTTGCTCTGAGAAAAGTTCAAGTGAACACTCAGTGGAGTGCAATTATGATCCTCGGTTCTGGGTTGTGTCGCATCTCTTCTCGGCATCATGTAGGCGGGTTCCGGATTTCGATCAAGGAACAAGCCGTTGCACCCAACACAGCAGACGACGTCCAGGTTGGCGAAATGGTCTTCAAACTGCACCCGGCGCAGCAGCTTGCGCCGGCATGTCCTGAACTTAGCGATCGCAATGCAGCAAACCTGAAATGCAAAGCCACGTCATTGGCTTGGGATCGCGACTGTTTGGATGACCTGTAAAATGAGCTCGTGTCTAAGATGCACTTATCAGCGCATCAGGTGCCTGCTAGTGGGCGCTGTGCTTCTGCAAAACTCAACGAATTCATCGCAGAAATCCATGTTGCAGCTGCCCGGGACTCGGATATTCGCAAACAGGTGAGATCAGGTTCGCGCATGGTTGCGAATGGGCAAGGATCGTACCTTGGCAGCCCTGCTGCCGGGATCTGGCTCGGCTGCATTGATCTTCGACAGTCGACTGGACTTCTATGCCATGGCGGCACTTCCAGCTTTGCGCCGTTTGCTCGAGGCTGCGTGCTGTGTGACAGTGTGAGCTTCACGTTGCAGCATCGGTCACCGTTTCTTCGCAGGCTTTACCGGAACTGCGCTCTTCCAGACAAGAAGCTTGGATAGGGCAGCAGGAATCATGTACGACAGAAGTGGCCACCAAAGAAGTGCTGCTCCTGTTTTTGAGGCCAGCCGGCTTTGGTGGAATGCATTTTTTCCAGAGCCGCGAAATATGCGAACTTCCCGTAAGGCTCTTGGGGCCGACTGTTCATCCGGGAACGGACCCTCTTCACCCAGCTAGAACGGCCAGCCTGGCAAAGACCCTGGCGGCCGTGCGGCTGCAGAGGCCACATAGAAGAAGATTTGCCTGGACATGGTCGCATGATGTGCAAGCTGGTGCCTCGCTGCAGGCTACTTGAGAAGGGCTGGCCGCTGCTGGCCATGCTTGCGGCGTCGGGATTGACAACGTGGCGCTCCCACGGGCTTTATCCATCGGCCCAGGCAGGAGTCAGAGACTCACATCGGGGTGCGGATACCCCGATACCCCCAAAACGAGCAAGGATCGGTCAATTCGCCAGGTGAAGGTGTCAGACGTCGAAGCTGTGGTTTCAACTGCAGCTGTGCAGGACCCCGGTGCCTGGACGAAGTTAACGCTCACAGGGTTAGTGAACGTGCACAAGGGATCTCTGGCAGTCGAGGTGCGACGGACGTCTTAGAGGCCATCCATCTCAGATGCCCGTGCTTTAATCTGGCTGTCTGCTTTCCCGGATTGCTAGTGACTGCGCGTTAGGGCTAAGTACGGTCCTGGAAGGCCATGGCGACACAAAAAAGCCTTCAAAGAAACCTTTGGCAAAAGACATCGCCCTGTCCTCAATGACTTCTGTGCCTTATGGTCGAAGCCACAGATGCAATGGGAATGTGCGTGACAAGCACTGCAGAGGTCGTCTGACGTGACTGCCCCGGATACAACAATGACAAATGGCAGCTGACATGCATGTCTGTATGTGCAGGTCAGTCCAATTTTGCGGCAGATGGCAACTTGGCTTCTGGAGGCACCGGATGATGTCCCACAGGCTGCTCGGAAGATTCAAACTCCGCAAGCTGTCAGTGCCGTCCAGACTCAACAGAACCAATGTGAGTGAGTTGGTGCTTGCCAGGTCGTTTTCATGACCATGTTTTTCGGAGACCTCGGGAACGCGACCTGGGTGGCGCGCTTCCTCGATCGGGCTTTGGTCGTCGGTCTGCCCCGCCTGATCTTTGTGAGCCCAGACCAAGAATATCTGGATGATTGTTGCTTGGTTGCCAGTGCCAGTTGCATACCATGGGCTTCAGCGAGCATGGCGGGGCAAGAGAACCGTAAGGTGCAGATGTGGCACAAGTCTGGAAGGACAGAGGTGACGCATACAGCAGGCTTCTTTGTTTCCGCAGTCTCTCCACCGTCGTGCGACCCTACGACATCAACAACTATGCTGCCTGGTGGAAGGTAGATACGTAAGAGCTTGATTGAAATCAGAGAAGTTTTGGTACAGACAAAAGGCATCGAAAGGCTGCAGACGGTGTATCCACGCGAACCATGCATTGGTTCGAAGCAGCCTTAGGCAAAGTTCGTGTTGCTGCCGCTGTTGCTGGCGCTCGGCATGAGCTACGCTTGGTTCCTCAGCATATTTGGACGGGGATGCTAGTATTTTTGCCATGCGATTGGGCCAGACTTGTGCGGACTTGTCGGAGGTTGGACGTAGATATCTTTGTGGCTCAGAATCCCACGCAGCGGCTCGTTGACTTGGCACAAGAGGCAGATGTCCTCACAACTGACCATTTCGACGAGATCCTTGGTCTGCTCAGATGACCAAATTTGCAGATTATTAGGGATTGCAGGCATGTATTCCAGACACGGAGGCTCTAGAGGTTAAGCGATATGTCAATAAGGACCTGCTTGAACCACGGCGTCATATATGTCAAGGCCCGACTGCAATCCACATTGAACGCTCCTTGAATCTCCTTCGTTTCGTGTTGACTAGACGCTTGACACATGATGCAGGCCTCTGACAGAACTCTTATGTGGGTGTTGAGCTACATCAGATGGATGCACGTGTATCCATTTGGACACGACCAGAACGGCTGGGATGCCTTCCTTGGTCATTCGATCAAGTTTGAGCCCTCAGTGACCTGACGGCACAGAGATGTGCAGAGCCTGATCTCTTTCGTTGCACAGGAGCAAGTTGGCTGATGTTGGCTGTTTTGTACCCGCTGCATAAGGTTCCGGCAAAGGTCAATGCGAACATCACGCTGCGCGTTTTGGACACAGGCAAAGAGTTCTTGACGCTCACCGGCTGGGCAGGCTTCGCCTCCACCTCCTTCTGAGCACAACGAGCATGACACTTGTGACACGAGTTGCGATGACCCATGATGACCCTATACTATGCGAAAAGGGAGCAGCATTCCGCGTGTTCAGGAGAAGACGCAGATCTTCCGGCGGCTTTGCTTTTGCATCTTACACGAACTACCCCGATTGGCGTGATGGAGAAGCGAACTCGATTTTTCGAGCCTGGGCAGCAAGATTACCACTCATGCGCACCGCCTCGGCTGCCAGCTACTAGTTCATGTGAGTATTCTAATACTAGAAGAGACTTCAACACCTCCAAAGCAAACCTTCCAGAGAGAACCTGGAGTCGAACTTGAACACCGCGAAAGGAAATGGTGCGCCATTCACCTTGCCTCCACCTCCTCCCTCCAAAACACTGCGACTTTCGCCAATCCCGCAATCCAGATTCTGCAAGCACTGCAAGCTTCAGGTAGAAAGGAGAAGTGGCCCGGGTGGGAATCGCGCAAAGGATAGAGAAGGAGTCTCAGGTAGAATTGAAGCCTCCAGCCGGCTGAGGAGCTGATGGACTCGACACTTGCATCCTCGGGCTCGAGCTTGGATGATCGGCGCCGAGATTTGGAGGCTTTGCCCGCAGTCCCGAGACGGTGCACTTAGACTGCAAGCAGATGACTTGCTTTGGGGCAGGTTCTGCGAAGAGCGCTGATTCCGCTCAGGCTCGGTTTTTCGCTCGAGCCCCTAAAGGCCCCACCTCTCAACGGAGGGTAGACGGTCAAGTCGAAAGGCAACAGCACAGTTGCACAGAAATGGAGCTTCTTGCATTGCAGGGCTGCTCAACCCTCACCAAAACGATCGTGCTACGAGGGCGTCCACGTTGCGGTCGAGCAGGCGCCAACCTTCACCATGGCGGGGTACTTTCAGTAGTTTGCAGAAAGGCGTCCTTCTGCTGCTTTGTTGCAGGCCGTGGCTGATGGAGGCTATTGGCACCTCTTTGAGTGAAGGCAGAGACTGATCAGCCTCAGTCTCTCCTGACTATGGGGAAGCTGACCTCGTCTTCACCTAGCTGGGTTGATGCGCTTTGTTGGAAAATCGCCGATGCACAGCCATAGCACCTGCATTTCGACTCACTGGACACAATGGCATGTGAGTAGGCCAGCAGACATTTGCTGCAGTCAATGTTGTCGCCGAGCATATCGCAAGCATTAGGCGCTTATTTGAGAAATTTGTTAGAAGCTGCCGTGCCAAGGACTGGAGCTTCCAAGGCCACACAATCTGAGAGAGGCTACCTCCAGACTTATCAAGGCGAAGGTGTGACATTAAGCACACGATCTTGAGCCTCTTGCATTGTGCCAGTGATGTTTCAGTCCTTCAGTTTGCGCCTTCTCTGGACGTAGGAGGTCTCTTCCAAGCTCGCGTAGTCGTGCACTGCAACAGAACATACACGGCGGAAAAGAACTTCGCAGGTCACCAGACAGCAGAGGTGGAAGAAGCTGCATGCACGACAGATGCAGGATGATGCAGACAATGCAGACTGTGCCATCGATGAGCGACCAGCCAGGCAGGGCATGTTACCACCAGCTGGACCGACATGGATCATGAATCTGCGGCAGTTACGAGTCACCGCAGGGAGTGAGCACTTGGAGAGATGTGGCGCCGCAGAGTTTCGTTGAGTGTTGCCGATGCGGCAGCCTAGAAGGCACCAGAAGCTGCTCCCACGACATGGGGCACATCGATACCAGAGCGCTCTCTGTGCCGTCTGCGTCGTGCGACTGAAAAGGCCTGGCTGCAGAAGCTATCGTGACCAAGCTGGCGTAAAAAGAGGCCTTTCGATCAGTGAGACTTTCAGGCGGCTTTCATCTGGACTCAAAACTAGAAGACGCGAAGAATGCAGTGATGAACGCGCCTCAAGCTCACCTCAGTGCGAAACACGGTAAGCTTGCTTGCACGAGGACGGAGCTTACCATGTCGGAGTGAGAATTTAGGAGCTACACAGGACGTGAAGTGACAAAGTCTGCATAGTCATAGTCTGTGCAATGGCGATGGCGGTTCTGAACCCTCGACCGGGGCGGGGCTTCTTTTTGTTGTGCTCGTTTCTTTGCATGCAGGTTTGCGAGCCTGCATCTGTTTTTACTTTGCTGGCCTGGCTTATCAGACTCCATCTTGCAGGCAGCCAGCCGGTAAGCCGCAAGACGACGAAGCCCGTCAGCGGCAGGAAGCCAACACCGAGTCACTTCAGTCAGTGCTATCCTAAAATGCCCTGAAGGGGTTGATCTCCAGACTAAGCGGTTTTTGGGGGATTCCATCCGGTGGTGTCTAACAGTTCCACCGTTCTGATGGTGCGCTGGCAAGAGGCATTGGCGGCGCTCTGTGTCCGTGGCCAGGTGGACCAGGCTGCACATGACTTTGCTGCGTGGGCACTCGAGTCAAGCGACGTGCCATGGTGCGAGGTGTTGGAGTTCCTGAAGAGCCCGGAGGTCAGAGCTCTGCTTAATCATGGCTTACAGCCTATACCTAACCTTCCTTGACCCTTGCACTGCATGGCACGCATCATTCACAAAGACGATGCTGTGCCAGACCGGCAAGCATCATGGCTCTGAGACCATGCTGCTGATTCACCTCGTGAGACAAATAAGTGAACCAAGTACCGGCCGGTTTGGCACAGGTAGAGACAGGTAGATTGCCAGCAGCAGGGGCATCTGACAAGTATTTCGACTTTTCAATGGTGTCTTTTGCAGCTACGGTTCGGCGCGTCGTCTGCCATCACCCGAGCCGCTCAGTGAGAATTGGCGGCAAGGGCCCATGCCGTGCATGTCATGATATCCTTACTAGTGCTGCTTCAGGTTGCCCGCGGAGCCGCAGTGTTGCCGGTGTGAGGCGTCTGTCAGGGACTTGGCCTCGGATTGCTTTGCTACCCGTGAATAACCAGCGCTGGAGCACAGCATGCTGTGAGCTGGATGTGCGCACCTATGACCTTGTGAATCTGTGGGCAGGCTCGGTGGCTTCATACGAGCGCCTGTCCTGGAAAATTTGTTGCAATGCATGCTGCATGCAGGGATGTATGTAATACTGTAAGATTTCCGGCACATCCGAGGTGGTTCATCCTGACCTGTCGCCTGATTTTCCGGCCGAGGTGCCCTCAAGACTGGGATAGGGAGCCAAGATCCCCCTCCGAAGATTCTCAGTGATCTCCAGGCTACTCCTGAAGGTGTTGTGGTTTGACTCCATTAGCCCACTAGCCTTCAACCAAACGCCTCCGAATTCATCCACGCTCTTGTCCTCGCAACTATGTCGGCCTGACTGTGTTGAATGCCAGGCAAAACGAATAAATCAACGATCCCTGGCCGCATGCTCAGAGTGCGACAAGTTGTGGGTGTTGCCTTGGGTGATCTACCGAAGTTGCAGGCAGAGCTTAACGCTTACATCGATGCTCTGGAGTCTCAAGGGCGACGCCCTTTCGAGGAGGGGCCTGAGGTGGGCGATCTGTCTGAAGACATGTCGAAGCTGTGGTCAATCAGATCCCTCTGCAGGTCTCCAGGGAACTGCCCTTCTTCCGCGCACTTCAGGCTTGCACGGTTAGCCCATACAATACAGAGAGAGACCGCAAGAGCCATTGGATTGTCAGACTCGGCTGGGCCGGACGGTGCCACACCATGTCCTTGCCTAAGAGAGGAGGGCCTCTGCGCGAAGACTGACTGCTCCTTGTTGATTTGTTTTGACATGACCACCATTGACCATCGTATCGGCCGTTGACAGTTGAAACATTGACCACTATCCCGGCGGACGCCCTTCAACTAAGCACGCAGCAAACTGAAACCGTTTGCCAATCATTCGCTTTTTGAGTTGCTCTGGCATGAGTGCCTGGAAAGTGTTAAAATCACAGAGACGGCTTGCAGTCGCTGGCAATGCTCGGGGCTTCCTGAAGATGGAGTCGAAATTTGCCGAGACAGCCGCGGAGCGCATGTAATCTACAGCACTCAAGAAAATCGAGTCCAAAACCAAGCATCAACTCAACGGTCAGGCTTCCGGAACTTAGGGAGAGCAAGCTACGAGAGCTTGCCGTCGGGGCAATGGAGGCTGTTCGCGGAGCAAGACGCATCTGTCAGAAGTTCGTGCCGGACCACGTGATTTTCGCGAAAAACCATGTCACGTACATTGACAGTTTAATGTTACTTAAAACACCTCGCACATGACTCAACATTGGCGCCGACGAGTCGTAGTGGGTGAGCAGGGCTCGCAACAACAAAGACAGGATCCGAAAGGTCACAATGTGTGGTAGGAACAATGTCTGAGGTAGTGCCACTGCATTTGGAAATTCCGTCCCTTCCAGCTTCAGCCAGTGAGTTTGGACCTTACTGAATTTCCGGCGTAGACGTAGCTGTTTGCTTTTTGCCTTGTGTGATTCAATGCGAGGTGCTCGTTCAGCAGCTTGTGTCGGAATTATAGGTCGGGAGGCAAGTATCAGCAAGTTTTTGATTCATTGAGGCTTGATAAAGAGTTTGCGGCTGCTCACCTGATCCGCGGTGCGGAGGCAGTGAAGCTCTCTCTCTTGTTCCACGAAGAGCCCTTGACAGCAACTGCTGAAGCAGGTGGCTTTGCAAACTCCAAGTTCTCAGTTTTCAGACAGACCAGCGGTTTGAGACTCAGAAGTTGCACAGAAAACATGATTTGAACTTTCGCACTACTTGACAAGGTCGCACCTCTTTTCACGCAGAAAGGGGCTGGCAGGGCAGCCTTTGACAAACTATGGTGGTGAGAAGCCTGGATTGCCTGTCGCAGGACCTTCTGTGTTTCTGCATCGTCCTGAGGCAACAAACACAAGAAGAGCTCGTGCGTGAGGCCAGCAAATGTGTTCCTCCTACCGAACCTTCGACAGCCGCGCCAGCTTGATTGAGTCTGAGTCAAGAGGCGATTCATGGCCCTAACGACAGGGAGGTGCGACTGCACGTTGCTAAGTTCCCAGGCTGCATTCACCGCACTACTCTGGTACTTCAGTGTCTTCGACCCTGTTGCTAGCACAGGCGTGTGTTCGCATGCAAGTACGGTCACCAGCTCATGAGGAGACGTGCCGGAAAAACCTTTTTGGCAAACCGGTTTTGTAAGTTCGCATCATGCTCGAATCAAGCTGCAGGAAGTACTGGCGCATCAAGGATAAGCAGAAACGCAAGCGCCGCATCGCTAATGTGGATGCGCTTGTCGAGGCCCGCAGATCCTGAACTTGGATTGGCGAGCGGCAGACAGACAGAAACACAGACAGGATAAGGGGCGAAAGAGATGGTGCCGGGTGTGCGCGTGCAATACAAGGCATGAAACTCCTCCGGACCCTGCAGGACGGCCCTTCCTTTCGAGGATGGACGCCGGGGAAGCAGACTCACGCACTAATGCAGCGTAGGACATAGCCAGACAAGACTGGAGCAGACGGTCGGAGAGACAAACACGGACTAGGAAACAGGCAGACGGAACAGACACACAAGTAGCTGGGTTGAGGTGCATGCCAGCAGTTGCTTGATCATGTTTTAATTTTGCATGGCTTGTAATCAGGTTGCCTGCGGACACGTCGCACAGGGGATTTCGGTGAAGCGGCCGAAATTCGTATCTGTGACCCTGCTCGTTCTGCGCCTGCAGTCTCGCAGGCGTAGGTGAGAGCCGAATTGGCCACACAGACAGATGTCATCTTGATTCCACTCATGCGTGTTCTTTCGCATCGGGACGTGTGACTTTGATCATAACTGCAAGAACTACAATGTACTTGTCTTGTGCCGCATTACTGCGTGCTCATGGTGGCATCACAGCCGTGAGCAGGATAGCTCGTTCATGCAAACATCACTTTCAGAGTTTGACATCGCTCATTCCGTGCTTGATCGCATCGCGGAGCAGCAGAGTTTTCACAGATAGTCACTCACCGTCGGCTCGGGACACATGACACAATGGAAAACCAGTGCTTGTTTTCCGACCGCGGGGCGTGGGACAGCAAGCTTCAGTTAGCACCAGCGCACGATCACAAGTCAAGCACGGCACGACAACTTGCAATGATATGCGAGCCCTCGAGTGCTCGCCTTAAGACGGTGCCGTCGATTTTCTTTTGTTCGTTTATGTATCCATGAAACCTGAGCTGCCTCCGCCCTCCAGCCAAACAGAGCTTGCAAAGAGCTCAACCTTGCCTGCAATTTGAGAGCTCGGATTGTCGCTGTGCTCAATTCGTGCTTGTGGTTGCATCGGGACATGGCGCAGAAGGCATTTCGGTCACACATGAATGTCTCGCACGCGTGCATTGGCTCTGTCAGCGTCTGCAAAAAATCCGTACTTTACATGAGCGGCCTGATTGAATGGGTTGGTATAGGCCGCATGACAAGATGCTCCGACTCTCGTGTTGGCGAGCATACCAGAAGGTGCAGTTCGGATTTCGGACTCGAGAACATACCGGAATCTGTCCCGAGATCGGCATAGCACCCTGGATGGATTCTGAGTTGTTCGTTTCTCGTGCAGCATGACAACAGGATTGTCACGAATTCGTTGTTGAGCTTACTGCCTCGCGCAGGCTTGGTGAGATGCAACTTTTCTTGAAAGCGCTCTTTGGTGGCTGTCGTGTGAAGTAATACCTGTGTTGCACGAGTCATTGTCTTTGTCACCCTGCGCTCCCTGAAAAGGGCTTGGCCATGCTTGGCCCTTCCTCGCTACATCTGACTAGTTGTGGAGTGACATTGTTAATGCCGGGAGTACACGTCGTGTGGTGCGAGTTACCGTGGACGAGTTTACCCTTTGCGTTCTGGTGTGCAGATCTGCGAGTGGCCATTTCTGTGGTGGCAGACCTTGAGTTCAAGACACCAATGCACCGTGGTCCTTGTCCCATGAAGAGATCCGAGTGCTTGGCATAGATTTTTTTGCAGCACGTTGGCTACGGGATTGATTTTGGCTTTTTTTCGTGATGCGATGTACTCCGGACCGTGCGTGAGTGCTGATCTGTTGAGACCTTTCGTGAGCCCATGGATTGAATGTTCAAACCTTGGTCGTGGCGAGTCTCAATTGTCCCAATTCAAGAGGAACCTTTTTGATGTTTTGGCAATGTTGAAACGTACCTTCGCCTAAATCAGTGTCAATAATCCCGTCCCTTGCCGTGAGCTCTGTCAACTTCTCCCATTCGCAACAGGTTTTGTTTTTCGACATTCATGCTCAATGTCCAGACGTCATTGTATGCTCGTGCAATGGTGTGTCTTGATCGGCGGTAGCGCTATCGGCGAAGACGTTGAAGTTGACTCCAACCACCGATAATGGGACAGTGGCTATACAGCCGAGGCCAGTAGTTTTGAGCGGAGTTAATGCGCCACATGATGCCGCATCGGGGAGGGACAGAAACAGCGGCAGCTGCGGGTTGGTCAAAAAACAGCACCCGGCGGTGCTGACTTCACGGCTTTGGGTGTTGTTCAGTCATGGCTTTTCATGCCCGAAGAAGAAGACAGGGACAGAGACAGAACCAGCGGAGCTTGAGGAACAGTCTTAAAAGAGATGTGCGCATGTGTAGATAGTGATATGCCAGCAGATGTCGCAATTTGAGTATCCGTGGTCAGTTGATGCGCTGCTTTGTGGGTACGGAGGCCAAAGTTCAAGAGCGATTCCCGGAGCCGGCAACACCCGCAGAGCTTCTGATGCAGGCCTCTGCTTGAGCCTCTTCGTATTTGCATGTGCCCGCAGTGTGTTTCTGGCCATCAGTGGACATCGACACACTCAAGTGGAGGCTGATGACGAAGAAGCGAAGAGTCCCGTGCGAGTGCCCGGGCCCTGGGGCATGTCGGATCCGTTTGACGCAGACCTTTCCGCATGGTTTAGTCTTACATTGCCGCGGTTCTTCATCCTCTCTTTCAACATCTCCTTGCTTTGGGCCTCCGTGCTGTTTAATTGTCGTGGTGTGCATGGATAGTGACAGGAGCGTTCGAGTTCCTCGATTTCTGTTGGCTGCTCCAGGCTTCAAGGGGGGTTCCATCCGGACCTTGTCTTCGTGGATCCCGATCTGTCTGCGGAACATCGGTCCGAGGTCGGCCCGATAGGATCGTGTGGTTGGTGTGATGGCGATGTTTCAGTGCCATACACTGCAGCGTACAGAGAAGGGACAGGATCTTTGAGGTTACGTCGGTGATTGCTTACGAAGACCGAGTCCATTCCCCGTTCGAACGTCTAAGTCGCTGTCCTATCGACAGAGCTTCAGGCATGTCATAGACCAACAAACAGATACGAGCAGCTGACATTGGAAAATGGGCCAGAACTTGACTCCTGTCTGCTGTGCAGGCGATCCGCCGGGTTTGTGGCATGAACCTTGCCAGCGATGCTGACTTCTGGCTTCTGGAGAATCTGTGGTGCACCCGGCAAAAGTTGTGATTACTCTGGTTTCATCACCCGTGCACTTCCGGGCAGCATTCTTTGAATCCTGGCCAGGAAGGCTATGCGAGATAAGCCGCCTCCAGTACCGCTTGTCATCGCTGAGTCGAATTACAAGGTGACGTGTTCCACGTACGTCAGAATTCGTGGGACACTGACTCCACAGTCCGTTGCAGGCCCACCCAACAGGATTCATTCAAGTTCCCTGGGACTTCACAGTTGACGGCCTCTGCGACGTCTTGGAAGAGCCTTAACTGAGCAGAGCAGCCCTGTGAAGCCGTGGGTCCTTGATGTTCTGTGTTTCAACTGCTTTGTTGGGCAGCGGTCATGCCGAACTCCGTGGATTTCTTCTCTGAGCTGTCGGTGTCGGCGAAAGCTGTCAGGCTTTCGATGTGTTTTTCAGGTCTCGAGAAGTGTTGCAGACAAAGCACGCACGCTGCACTTGCGACAGCTAGTTGTGCCAAACTTGGGGTTGTGTTGCTGTCCTTCCGGTAGCCGAATTCCGGACGGAGCCCAAGGCGTGAATGCCCTGCAGATAAGAGTTACGCTTCGTGCTCAGGAGCATCTCGATGCAACTCGAGAAGGCCAGCACAGAACCTCTGATGCGATCTAGCCTTGATATCGCCCGTGAGTTTCTGCCAGGAGTAATCGCTCGGCGACGGCGTGGGCATGTTCCTCCCGTTCCTGAGCCTGATGACTCTGGACAACCAGCTGCAAGATTCTGCAACTCAGTCTGAAGCACGTGAGCACATGTCCAGACCACAACCCGCGCTGCAGGACCACTTCTTCTAGAAGACTATTCTGACAAGGAAGACGAGGAAAGTCAAAGCGACGAGGAGGACCTTGATCCTGCACAAGATCGAGCGTTTGCTCAACGCGAAGGTCTTCCATTCTCCTGAGTCTTCATCACACTGGCCTTACTGGGCGCCTTACACCCGACCTATTTGCAGTCGTGCGAAGCTGCTGCGAAGCTGCTGATGTCAAGTCTGTCTCTGATCCGCAGGTCCAGGGAACAACAGAGCGACAGAGCCCCTTCCAAAATCTCAGCCCTCGGCGGCCCGCAGAGCTCGCAACGACGTCTTCCTTTCCACGACAGGACGGGTCAGAGCCTGCGCTACGACAGGCGACTATGCACGAGCTTTTGGAAGCGAGCGAAGCTTCTGAACTTCGTTCAGTACGAGTTGGAAGAATGCAGATGATGACGTGGACTTTCAGACGTGGGGATTGGGCCAATCAGACCGAGAGGTACCTGATCCTGGTTGGACTGCCAAAGCCATCACTGGTGCCCTTGCATGCGGAGTGTGGAAGAACACACCCTTGCAGATTCGACACTGCTCCTGAGTAGGCATTTTTAGGCCGCAAGCAACTTGGAAGCTGGGGAGAGTCCCCTTGCTCATGCATCCTGTCAAGAATCAGCAAACTTGGGAACATCGGCTGCCACTCACTGTCTTATGACACGAGTACTGCCAGTACCGACAAAAAGGCTGCTGCGTGAAGCAGCCGACATTGGCGGGGTGTTTCCTCGTGTGTGGTTGATTGGGGATGGCACCCTGCTTCAGAACCACTTGAGTGCCATTGTACAGCATGGACTGCTTGCTCGGAACATGTTCCAAGCGATGTCTGCAGCAAAGACGCAGCGATCTTCCCCTGCTGTAGCCCCGAAGCTGTACCTGTATACAGGCTGTGCACATCGCCTCTGGCGAGTTGGATGCCGCCGGAGACTCCGCATTGCACCTGGCAGCTTGGATGAGACTGGAGGCTTGATCTCATACGCATCCATGGTGTCGTGACAGTGCGCCAGAAACATGTCCTAAGGCAGTGCTTGGGGGACATCTGGTGTTCACGCGGGACCTGCGAGCTGAGGGCGAGGGAACGTCGAGTCTGTCTCTCCCTCTCTCTGCGACCGGCATGCAGGAGTTGCTGGCTGCATCGTGCGAGGCCAACGCCTGCCGTGCGGTTTCCGTCGCTTTTTGGGGCAGCCTTTGCTGAAGTCTAATCGCGGTGAGCGAACAGGGGGATGGCATCAACGAGCCGTAGTAAAGTCCTGTCGGTGTGTCGGTGTCAGAGTCGGAGGTGCACGCCCGCGATGGCCGTGGGCGATCTCCTTTGCACGCTATGCTCTTGGCAGAGAGAGGTAGAGGCATGTGCATCGCTTCTTTCGAATCTCTGCAAGGTGGCGGCCATGGAGGGAAGCCCCGAGTTGGTGGGGGGGCCTAAACGGGCCTAACTAAGAGCCCTCTTCTCTCTGTGTCTTTCGCTGTTCGCGGCTCGGAGCTGCGACGTCTCCGAAGGCTTTGGAGCTCCTGGCGGCCGGAGCCGATGCCAACGGCTTGGACGACTGGAACCAAACAGCCACGCTCCAAGCCGAGCTGGCACTGATGGCGAAGCTGAAGAAACCCAAACCGCCGCTTTTGGGGTATTTCCGTAGGTCAGATGGCGAAGGGGCCTGTTGCCTCATATAGGGTCTGGTAACTCGCGGCTGCACTGCTTGCAAACAGGTGCATGTCTTGTGCCTTGCGCAGTGCATGCAGTCTGAGCTGAGTCTGAGTGTGCAGTTTGGGGCAGTGTCCCAGGCTCTCCACTGGGCTTCAATGGCACATTCAGCAGACTTGGTGATGCACCAAGGTGAAAACATGTCGGCTGTAACCGATCTCTTGCGAAGTAGTTGACATTCATTCTCGCTGGGGACATCAAGGTTTCAGTCCTGCTGGATGGTCGCTTGGCCTTGCACTGGCTGTTGTCGGTAGCTAAACCACTGCTCAGTTACGTAGTTTGCAGGAGGTGCTGATCCGCTGCTTCGAGACAGCACAGACCTCAGAGGCTCTACTTGGCAAGTGGTCAGATATGGGCCTTGACAGAGCGTCTGTGAGGGTCTCGCCCCGCCTTCTTTCCTCCCCGCATGATCTTCAGGTTTTGGCAGAACGGCTGCGCTCATGGCTGCAGAGTGAGGGTCTCGCTTGTCAAGCTCTGACAGACTCCGTGGTTCTTTGTGCTTCCTGAAGGCAGGGCAAGATGGAGCTTTTGGCCCGCTTGCTCGACAAGGCCCTTTACACTGCAGGCGCGTGGTGTGTGTGGTGGTGGAGCGACATGTATGACAAGGAACCCAGCTGTGCCACGATCCCGAACAACGAGTGCCAAGCCCTGAATGCTACATCAAGGTATTCGATAGTCTTCTCGGCATGGATGGCTGTTGCCGGCATGTTGTGTGATACTTGTAGCGTGGCTGCCGAGACTGGAGCCCGCTGCATGTGGCAGCTTTCGGCCTACAAAGCGTCAAGCCACGGCCTCGTTTGAAGCCCTTGACTCCATGTGCTCCACATCTCCCTTCCTCTCTTTCAGTCGTCTCGCTCGGATGCCAGGAACTTCACAAAGCCTCTGAAGTTTTTGGAGACCGTGAAGATGCTGCTGGCCGCCAAGGCGCCCGCTAGATTCGGGCATGGCGCTTGGCATCTTGGATGCTGTGCTAAAGCGGCAACGGCCTGGCTTCGGCAGGCTGAAGTTGATGCGAAGGAGACAGTCCCCTCCAGCGCGGTGGAACTTGGGGAGTTCTGGTGTCAACAGGCGGCAGGTGCCAGTAAGCACTGTGAACTCTGCAGGATGAGAATTGCCGCACTGCCTTGCACAGAGCTGCTCAAGCAGGAATGCTCTTGCTTGTCATCTGGGTCTGCACCCCTGGTTTTTGTTTCGGATGGCAGGAAACAGCGAGCCGCTTCAAGCACTGCTTGCAGCTGGTGCAAGCGTGTCCAGTGCAGTGGTGCCTGCATGGATTCGCTGTGCTATCCACAGCCAGTGCTGAGGAAGACGAGAGACAGAAAGATAGACTCTACATTGCAGCCTCACTGGAGGGTTCCTTACAGGAACAAGGCTGACAGGTATTGACAGGTGCCCACCCCAGGCTTTATTGGATTGCGCCAGGATGAATGCAGATGGACACCCATGCACTATGCGAGCCAGGCAAGAGAGCACATGCCCAGCAAGACTGCCGTAGTTGGCAGATGCCAGATGACTTTGTGTTGTCTAGTCGTGCCGATCAGGAGGGCCACCTGCAGATTGCAAAGCTCCTGCTAGATGCAAAGGCCCTTTTCGTTTTAGCCGCAATTTTGACAGGATGAGGAACATGCGGCAGCCAATGCTTAATGACTTAGTCAGCTAGCAATGGATGCTAGCCGTTGCTCAGCCATGTTCAGCCCAGAAGCCCGGGCTGCCTCGAGGCAGATGCAGAGCCCAAGAACCCAACATGCTTGACACCACTGGCCGTTGCAACGGAAGGGAACCAGGCTGGGCAAAATGTGAGCTCTTCTGAAAGGTTAATCAAAGCTCGTTGCTCGGGCTGCCTAGGTGAAGATGGTTGAGTTTTTGCTCAAGCACGGCGCAGATCCGCATGCCAGGGCAAAGGGCCATGCCCTTGGACTTTCGGAAGAGCCCAGGCCCACATTATATATTGCGAACTTGGCTTTCTAAGTCTTGCTCACTACCAAGGCTTACATTCGCCTCTGATGATGGCTCGGAGCGACCCGAAGAAGTTCCGGACTCGTCTGCTCGTTGCATCCTGACATTCTGGGCCTCGGCCGGGCAAGGTATGCTGATATACTTGCGCTCCTTGAGCTCGGCTTCATCAACCACTAGCTCTGCAAAAAAGTGCAGTCGCCCCAGTTTGTCTCACCGAAACGGCGAAAGCTGCGCAAGAAGCGTGGTCAACAGAGTTGCATGCTTGAGAGACCAGTGACCGTGCATGACAATCTCTTGATGTTCTTGCCAGGGTACGTTGATACTCGCATCATTTTGGCTCAGAAGCCGGCCGGTGCTTGCGCCTGCCATGTTGGGAGGCGGGCTGTCGACCTCAAACCGCAAGACCGGGTGCACGGAAGGCTGTTGACATTTAGTGGCCGTGAACCGCTCAGGCAACATGCCGACAGGAGCCTCGAAGAAGCTCGGCGGCACTGAGTGACATGTTGCAGTTGCAGGAGCTTTGGCCTGCCTATTGATTCTGCTTGTGACCGGTCTTTATTTGGTCGTCTCGTCCCGCACCTCAATTGTCACCGGGTCCGTCAAGTTACTGTTGGCAGACTTGACTTGACTTAGATAACTTTGAGGTCGGCCTGGAGTCTGGAGTCGTTGCCATGAGAACAGTGCGGATACACCGAGTTACCCAGGCAAAAGCACTCCACAAGAGCCAGCTGCCGAACATGGCTGCTGGCTTGCGGCACCTTTGCTCGGAGCTTGACTGCTTCGATGTCAATGCCAGTCGCAGAAACATGCAGCTAGGCAGAGCTTCCATGTATCCCAGGCGATCTTGGGTGTTCAGCAGATCAAAATGTTTGTTACGCTGCCGCAGACATCCAGGTGGGCACATCGGGATTTACTCGGTTACTTGTGCAGCTCGTGCTGGCATGTTGCAGGCAGTCTGAGCCAATGGACTCCCGACGCCGTGCCCTAATTCTGGGAGGATGCCGACGTTGGTCTGGTAGGATGTTGAACTGTTCGGGGGCAAAACATGCCGTTGGTCTACAGCTTCAGACAATCAATGCAATTCAACCTGGTCAGCATGCATCGTTCACAAACAACTGTTTTGCACCTTTGCAGGAATGTCTTTCGCAGCCTTTGAGGCACGGTGGATTGTCGTCATTGAAGAGACGAGTCATGGACGCTCATGACATGCAGATGAGCGGAAACATAGCACATGATGGAAAGTCGCGGTCGGCCTGATGTGCAGGATCAGGCCCATGCAGCAAGCTCTGCAGCTGCCAAGATAAAGGAGTGCCAGGCCGAAGATGTCGTTCAGGATAGTCGCAGCTCCTGCTTGACTCACTTGCCGTGTGTGCACATAGAAGCCGTCATTCGTTGAGGCGGAGGCCAACAAGATTGTTGGCGGTCTCGAGTCGACAGCAAAGAATGCGCTGGCCATGACACCGGGGCAGCCCGGATCCTGGCACAAATGCGACTGGTTTGTGATGCCTAGCTGACCAGCTAACATGCGAGGGTTGCTGAACAGCAAGCTCGTGGCCCACCCAAACTGGGCAGCTTTGAGACACTTGAGGGGTGCGCGCCTGAGCTCCGAACGTCTTCGAACCCTCGGCCGCTCTGATGCCGCTGCAGGCCGTGCTCGACGTCCGCGCTTCGTGCTGCTGCCAGTGTCCAAGTCCGGTTGGGGTTGCTCCGTGAATGTGGGCTGCGTAGCACTCGAGGCAGACAGCCTGGCTGCATCACCCCCAGCTGGCCTCACCCGATATGCCGCGACCCCAGGCCCTACTGTAGTGAGTCGCCAGCCTCTCGACGCGAAGCAGCAAAGCAGCAAAACCAGAACTGAGGAACTCCAGCGCTTGCAGGATGCTCCAAAGCGGATCGTGGAGGCCGCTTCATTTCACTCTCTGTGGCCGCCCGGGTTGCGGCGCTCAACAGCCAGGCCCGCACGGCAATTGTCGAAGCAAACGCCAACAAACAGGCAGGGATGAATCAACGTTGCCCTCCCAAGCTGCTTTGAGTGTAACCATATGTTGCGCGTTCGTTCCGCTGCAGGGTCCTCGCCTTTTCGGCGCTGTCAGGAAGTACATGGATGCATCCGGATCCCTACTTGTGGGTATTCCGTAGTTGCTTCCATAAGAACTTCAATTTTAATATCTTTCCTCTAGCCAAAACTGCTTTAGGCGTTAGCATGCAGCCAATGTGGCTTGAGAAGCAGGCCAGTCGCCAATATGGCAAGACTCTTAAACGAACGACAATTATTGTGTGTGCCGAAGAACAATTGCTGGGACGGTGGGAATTAGTCATTGAAGATTTTTCAGGTATTAATTGACTATAGAATCGTTATGATCAAAGATATAAGATTCTTATTACTAAATTTAAGATTACAAATTTGTTTCTAATGAACTCTCAACGACTATTTGTGCATATGCAGATGCACATAAATAAAGAGCTCTAGAATTGAAAGTTAAAAATTTTCGAATTATAAAATTCATTCAGGTATCGTGCTGGTTGCATATATGCGCGCGCCCCTCTGTAACTTGGTCTTCTGTGATACGTTTCTTTTTGAAAGCCTCTAAATAATTTCGAAAAATTATTGGTAGCGGCTCGAATGTTGTGCTTTCTGAATGCAAATCTTTCGATATATTTATGTGTGTATGGGGGGGTTTCTATAGGTTCGCCTCTTTACGCGCGTTCGTATCTCTCTCTATATGTTTATGCGTATGTTTGGGTTGCATACTGGTTTGAGTATCTATCTATATTTTTATTTGTATACTTATTTGTTCGTTTATTTATTGGCTTGTTTGTTCGTTTGCTTTATTGTTATTAGAGAGTTCGTAGATGATTTCTGATTGGAAAAATTACTGATAATTTTATAATTTGTTTTTAGATAAAATAAGATTTTCATATATTATCATATAATTATAAAATAAAGTATATTTATGAAATATTTTATATAAAGAATAAGATAAAACATATTAGTTCTTATTTAATTATAATGAGTAATATAAAAAATAAATTGTTATATTTTCAATTATTTAATTATATTTAGAATTCTATAGTATCTAAATTCTTATAAATAATATATTTAATTTAATTTCTAGGATTTACTATATTATTTCATATAATTTATAATTTAATATTTTATATAAAGATCGTATTCTTTGTTTTAGGATACTACATAAATAAAACTTAATC